TTGCATGCCGTAAATCACACTTTCCAGGCACGGGACCACATCTCGGCATTGAATTACAAATGACTCCACGGAGGGAATTGAACTGTCAGGATCGTCTTGCCTTTTCACCGGAGTCTTTTCCACACAGACACCTTTTAACTCCTAGGATTCCTGTCGTTGGTTTACAGACCGAGGCATTCCTCACATCCTTTCTTCCTCCTTTTAGTCATCCTTTGATCGCTGCAATTTGTCTTGATGCTGTTTATGCTTTCCTAGATGGTCAGGCATGCTTTTTAGAAGGAATATATATTTATTGCTTCTAAAATGTTAGAGAATACAGAAATGCTGGACCACTCTCACAACCACCACATCAGGGTACACAGAGAAGCCACTGAAATCCACAATCAGCACGGGGACAATTTCAACAGAAAGGAGGAAACCATGGAAATGAACAAAATCTGGCTACCAGTATTAAAAAACTCTAAAATTAGAACAGCACAACAACAGACAAGGACATCTAATCACCTCTCAACAAAAGATTGCTCCAGGCACTGCCAGGCCATCAAATGCTAATCAAGGTGGTCAGTTGAAACATTCACACATAGCTCCAGCAGACAAGAGTCCTTTGTCCCACCCTGGTCATTCCACAGATATATAAACCCTTTTTTCCTATTTCCAACTGACCTCACTACCTCTGAGGATGCTTGCCATAGATGCAGGCAAAACGTCAGGAGAGAATGCCTCTAGACCATGGCCATATAGCCCGAAAAAACCTACAACAACCCAGTGATTCCGGCCATGAAAGTCTTCGACAATACAATGTTTGGAATGTAATGTTTGGTGTTTCAGACTGATCTTTCATTTTGGAGAAGCTCATGAGGGGGTGTCAGTGGGGTTGCCAAAGAATATCAGAAAATACAGTATTTTCTGTTGGTCATGAGGGTTCTGTGAGGGAAGTTTGGGCCAATTCTCTAATTGGTGGGGTTCAGAATGCTCTTTGATTGTGGGTGAACTATAAATCCCAGCAACTACAACTCCCAAATGTCAAGATGTATTTTCCCCCCAAACTCCACCAGTGTTCACATTGGGGCACATTGAGTATCCGTTCCAGGTTTCGTCCAGATCCATCATTTTTTGAGTCCATGGATGTAGGTGAACTACAGCTCCAAAATCCAAGGTCAATGCCCACCAAACCCTTCCTGTATTTTCTGTTGATCATGGGAGTTCTGTGTGCCAAATTTGGTTCAGTTCCATTGTTGGTGAGGTTCAGAATGCTCTTTGATTGTAGGTGAACTATAAATCCCAGCAACAACAACTCACAAATATCAAGGTCTATTTTCCCCAAACTCCACCAGTGTTTACATTTGGACATACTGAGTATTTGGTCCTGATCTATCATTATTTGATTCCACAGTCCTTTCTGGATGTAGGTGAACTACAACTCCGAAACTCAAGGTCAATGCCCACCAAACCCTTCCTGTAGTTTGTGTTAGTCGTGGGAGTCCTGTGTGCCAAATTTGGTTCAGTTCCATTATTGGTGGATTTCAGAATGCTCTTTGATTGCAGGAGAACTATAAATCCCAGCAACTACAACTCCCAAATGTCAAGATGTATTTTCCCCCCAAACTCCACCTGTGTTCACATTTGATCATGGGAGTCCTGTGTGCCAGATTTGGTTCAGTTCCATTATTGGTGGGCTTCAGAATGCTCTTTGATTGTAGGTGAACTATAAATCCCAGCAACTACAACTGCCAACTGACAAAATCAATTCTCCCAGTCCAACCAGTATTCAAATTTGGGCATATTGGGTATTTGTGCCCAATTTGGTCCAGTGAATGCAAATACATCCTGCATATCAGATATTTACATTACGATTCACAACAGGAGCAAAATTACAGTCGTGAAGTAGCAACAAAAATAATGTGATGGTTGGGGGTCACCACCACATGAGGAACTGCATTAAGGGGTCGCGGCATCAGGAAGGTGTAGAAACACTGACTTAGAGAAAGGCCTTCACTGCCTCCTGATGGTCAACCCTGCGTGTTATGAATTCCAACCGTCCCTTATTAGTATTATTATTACTGTTATGGAAACCTGGCGCAATGCTTGGAGAAGAGAGGCGCCTCCGTGTTGCTTGTGCTCCAAAAGCTTTGTTGCGCTGCGAGGGAGGCTTTGGGAGTGTTGCCTTGAAGGCCGTTGCTGTGGATATAGAGGTCAAGAGCGTTCCCTGGGTGAAGATATGCGTTGGCTCATCATCTTCGATTATTCTGCCACCTCGGCATGCCCCGCACGGCTGTCATCCCTCATTAATGTCTGCAGGCACCCGCTCCGGTTCTGCCTTGGATGGAAAACCACGGCTGACACACGTGCCTGGCACTCAAGGGCGGTCAGGGCGGAGAGACCCACACCCAACATAAACACGGCTGTCTCTCCAAGTCGTGGTTATGGGGCATGACATGACACTCCTGCAGCCAAGGCTCAGCTGTGTCCGCTATATTTTTGGATTCAGAGCCTCAAAAATATATAATACTAGCCGTCCCCTGCCAGGCGTTGCTGTGGCCCAGTCTGTTGATCTGGAAAATCAAGTCATGAGAAAGTGTTGGTTTCTAATATATGTAATTCCTTTCTGCTTGTGAGTAAATAGTATTTCTTGCTGTTTCTTTGTCAGTGTTGATGTGGAGAGAGTCTGGTTTGCCTACTCTGGAACATGCAACATATCATTGTCCTTCTTCAGGGGTCCCTTTCAAATATATGAATCAAATCTATCTATTTGGCTGTCTCTATCTATCTATCTATGGCTGGATGGCTCTTTGTCAGGAGGGCTTTGATTACGTTTTCTTGCCCTGATGAAGGGAGTTGGACTGGGTGGCCTTAAGTATTTTCTCTTGGTCATGGGGGTTCTGTGTGGAAGTTTGCCCCAATTCTGTCGTTGGTGGGGTTCAGAATGCTCTTTGATTGTAGGTGAACTATAAATCCCAGTAACTACAACTCCCAAATGTCAAGGTCTATTTCCCCCAAACTCCATCTGTGTTCATATTTGGGCATATTGAGTGCTTGTGCCATGTTTGGTCCAGATCTATCATTGTTTGAGTCCATAGTGCTCTCTGGATGGAGGTGAACTACAACTCCCAAACCCAAAGTCAATGCCCACCAAACCCTTCCAATATTTACTGTTGGTCATGGGAGTTCTGTGTGCCAAGTTTAGTTCAATTCCATCGTTGGTGGAGTTCAGAATGCTCTTTGATTGTAGGTGAACTATAAATCCCAGCAACTACAACTCCCAAATGACAAAATCATATTTTTGAGTGATGGTCACTCCTTGTGTTGTGAGACATTTTGTTGCCAAATTTGGTGTGATTTCGTTCATTGGTTCTTTTGTTTTTAAGGTACTCATTATGCACAGAGCATTTAGATAGATATAGATAATCACGGTCAATTAGGGGTTTTGCAACCCCACAAAAGATACGCAGGTGGAGAAAATGAAATGGTATAAAACAGGCATCGAATCCTAGAATCCTAGAGTTGGGAGAGACCTCCTGGGCCATCATCCAGTCCAACCCCATTCTGCCAAGAAGCAGGAATATTGCATTCAAAGCACCCCCGACAGATGCCCATCCTATCTCATCAGCCAAAAGCAGGCCCACACTTCCCATTGAAATACTAATAAGTTTATTTGTTAAAATTGTTCTTCATTTTAATCATTGTATTGTTTTTAAGTGTTTCTTGCACTACAAATAAGATAGAGGCAGTATGCATAGGAATTTATTCATTTTTTTTATTATAATCCGGCCCTCCAACAGTTTGAGGGACTGTGACCTGGCCCTCTGTTTAAGTTCTGGATGAGGAGGAACAAGCTGAAGATCAATCCCGACAAGACAGAGGTCCTCCTGGTCGATCACAAACCGGACCGGGGTATAGGGTGACTGCCTGTGTTGGACGGGGTTACACTCCCCCTGAAGCCACAGGTCCGCAGTCTTGGGAGTCCTCTTGGACTCATCACTTACGCTTGAGGCTCAGGCGTCGGCGGTGTCCGGGAGGGCTTTTGCGCAACTAAGACTTGTGCGCCAGCTGCAACCGTACCTCGTAAAGTCTGATCTGGCCGGGGTGGTCCATGCCTTGGTCACCTCTAGATTGGACTACTGTAATGCACTCTATGGGGCTGCCCTTGAAAACGGCCCGGAAATTTCAATTGGTCCAACGGGCGGCCAGGATGTTAACTGGTGCCTTACAGGGAGCGGTCAACCCCCTGTTTAAGGAGCTCCATTGGCTGCAGTTTCATATTCATTATCCTTGTGGTGATTTTTGTAGCCTGCCAAGCTTGTATTCCTGGTTTAGATTTGGGGCTCGTTGAAATCAACCCACACAATCTCTTCATTCATCTGGAGAGGCCCTACTCGTGATCCCACCTCCATCGCAAGCGCGATTGGTGGGGACGAGGGACAGGGCCTTCTCGGTGGTGGCCCCTCGACTCTGGAACTCACTCCCCAAGGACATTCGGCATGCCCCAACTCTGGCAGTCTTTAGGAGGAGCCTGAAAACGTGGTTGTTTCAGTGTGCCTTCCCACAATAAGGAAACTCCTAGCAAAATGTCCCTAAATGCACTTTACTAGAGATCTAGAATTGCCTGCACGCTCCACCTATCCCTAAAATATCTATCCTATTTCACCTGATCATGCCCAGCACTTTTAAAGGTTTTAATTATTACATTTGGCCTTGCCACAGGTTTTAATGTGTCATGGTGTTATTGTTAATGTTTTTGCTTACTTATGAGTTTGTTGTTATTGTATTGTTGTTGTGTTTTACTGATGTATTTGGGCTCGGCCTCTTGTAAGCCGCACCGAGTCCTTCGGGAGATGATAGCGGGGTACAAATAAAGGTTTTATTATTATTATTATTATTATTATTATTATTATTATTATTATGAGTGGACCCCTGGTCTAGATGAATGGCTCATTCGACAAGGAAATCTTGCTGATGTGCTGACCCTATTGTGTCCGTCTTCCCTTCTTCCAATGGCTCAGCTTTCTAAACCGTCGGGATCTCCAGAGCAACCGACGTGGGACTCGTCCTTCTTGTTCCAAGGAAGAGACGGAGCCACGGCCTTCTCCGACGACACCGCCTTGGTGATCGAATACTTCAAGTCACGTAGGCCTTTCTCTTTGTCTCTTCCCAGAAGCAGTACAGCTCTTATACCCTCATGTGACTAAACATGTCCTTTCTAGGCATTTTCTATGTCCTTTGGGTCAATCCTACACAAACTCTGTCTCTAGTCCAGCTTTTGGATCCATGGGTTTCCTCTTGGGCGCATCATTCCTCTTGGGCGGATGCAGTTTGACCCCCATTTGGACTGCCGTGGCTCAATGTGATGGAATCCTGGGTTTGGACGCTTGTTGAGGCACCGGCACTCTTTGGCAGAGTCCTCGCTCCGACGTTTCTTGTTCCCGGAGCGCCCTGAGTATTCACTCTGCTGGGACTCTCCATGAAGCAGATTATCTTAAGAACTTGACTGTGGCCAAATATCGCTGCCTATTCCTTGGCCCAGTTTACTTGTCCAAATGCATTTTCCCCTATGAACCAACACAGAGATTAAGATCTTCTGGAGAGGCCCTGCTCTTGGTCCCGCCACCATCACAGGCGCGTTTGGCGGGGATGAGAGACAGGGCCTTCTCAGTGGTGGCCCCTCGGCTTTGGAACTCCCTCCCTAATGAGATCAGGTCAGCCTTTAGAAGGATGATAAAAACGTGGCTGTGGAACCGAGACCTTTGGGACTGTGTAACGAGTCGACAATAGGAACTCTTGGTATGCCAACGAAATTCAATATGTTTGTTGAGACAGTTTTAACTAGAGTATTTTAACGTCAAGATAAGTGATGTTTCGGCATTGAAGGCTTGCCGTTTATATGTTGTGCTCCGCCCTGAGTCCCCTTTGGGTTGAGAAGGGCGGAATAGAAAGGCTTTACATCTATATAAATAAAAATGTAATGTTCGTTTGCGGGATTAGCATAACTCAAAAACCACTGGACAAATGGACGCCAAATTTGGACGCAAGAAGACACCTCTCAGGCCAACAAGTGACCACCACTCATAAACACACCAAAAAAACACAGTGGAAGGGACTTAAAAGGCAAAGAGACGCTACAGCGCATGTGCAAAATGACTCTCCCTGGTAAACCCACACTCCCTTTAGGACTACATCTCCCAGCATCCCCTAGACCAGGCCCTTTAGGAGAGGAGGAGGATCCAAATGCACTGCTTCCAAGATGCAAGCTTTCTTCTCCTTGGATTTCTTGGCGAGCATCCCAATCCCAGCATATTCCCAATTTCCTATTCCTGGGCTGCAACTCCCACCAATCCTCCAGATAGATAGATTAGATAGAGAGTAGATAGGTAGAGTTAGATAGGTGGGGATAGATAGGTGGATAGATAGATAGATGATAGATAGATAAGGAGGGAGAAAGATATGATAGATATAGTGGATAGATAGATAGATAGATAGATAGATAGATAGATAGATAGATAGATAGATAGATAGATAGATAGATATAATAGATGGATGGATGATGTCTAGATGATTAATAGGTGAGATAGATATGATAGATGGATAGATGGATAGGGAGTTGCAATCCAAGAATAGGTAGAGAAGGAAGAAAGGGGAGAAAGAGGAAGGGAAAGAAAAGATGGGGGGAGGAAGAGGAAGAGGAAGAGAAGGAAGGAAGGAGAGAAGGAAGGAAGGAAGGAAGGAAGGAAGGAAGGAAGGAAGGAAGGAAGGAAGGAAGGAAAGGAAAGAGAGGGGGAAAGGAAGAGAAGGGAAAAGAAGAGAGAAGGAAGGAAGAAAAAGGAGGAAAGAGGAAGGAAGAGAGAGAGGAAGAAAAGGGGAAGGAGAAGAAGAGAAGAAGGAGGAGAGAAAGAGGAAGGAAAGAAAGGGGAAAGAGGGAGAGAAGAGAAGGAAGAAGGAAAGAAGAAGGAAGGAAGGAAGGAAGAGAGAAAGAGGAAGGAAGAAAGGAAGAGGGAGAGAAGGAAGGAAGGACAGAAGGAAGGAAGGAAGGAAGGAAGGAAGGAAGGAAGGAAGGAGAGAAGAGGAAGGGAGAAAGGGGAAGGAAGGGAAGAAGGAAGGAAGGGAAGGAAGGAAGGAAGAAGGAAGGAAGGAGGAAGAAGGAAGGAAAGAAGGAAGGAAGGAAGGGGAGAAAGAGAGGAAAGAAGGAAGAGAGGAAGGAGAGGAGAGAAGGAAGGAAGGAAGGAAGGAAGGAAAGGAAGGAGGAGGAAGGAAGGAGGAAGGAAGGAAGAGAGGGAAGAAAGGGGGAAGGGAAGAGGAAGAGAAAAAAAGGGAAGGAAGAAGAAGGAAGAAGGAAGGAAGAAGGAAGGAAGGAGGAGGAGAGAAAGAAGGAAGGGAAAGAAGGGGAGGAAGAGGAAGAGAAGGAGGAAGGAGAAAGGAAGGAAGGAAGGAAGAGGAAGGAAAGGAAGGAAGGAAGGAGGAGGAGAGAAGGGAAGGAGAGAAGAGGAAGGGAAAGAAGAGGGGGGAGGAAGAGGGGAAAGGAAGGAGAGAAGGGAAGAAAAAAAGGGAAGGAAGGAGAGAAAGACGGAGAAAAGGTTGGCCACAGCAACGCGTGGTGGGTACAGCTAGTATAGCTATATAAATAAAAATGTTCGTTTTTGGGATTAACATAACTCAAAAACCACTGGACGAATGGACACCAAATTTGGACACAAGACACCTCTCAGGCCAACAAGTGACCGTCACTCATAAAAACACCGAAAAACACAGCAGAAGGGACTTCAAAAGCCAAAAAATAAAAATATACATTACAATGCATGCGCAAAACCACATGTACACATATGCACATGCATACACATATACACACAAATATATATAAATACACACATATATACACACAAAACACATATCCACACAGCAACGCATGGCAGGGGACAGCCAGTAATAAATAAATATTCTCCAAGGCGAGCTGCAATGTGTTTTCATCCAAAGTGCTTTAAGTGCCGTGTCTCCATGCAATAACCAGGATGTGGAATGTGTGTGTGTATGTATGTATGTGTATATATATATTTTTTACAGGCAGGCTCGGCTACATACGATTCACCCACGGTTGAGCAACCTACCCAGCAGATCGGCTCAATTCCACGTACAGTTTCTACTAGGTGACAATTTTCCACATGTGACCGTGGCTGTTGCCTAGTTCCTCTCTGAGGACAACTCCCTGCCGTGTATATATTTGCTGTGTGTTCATATGCATCGTTTGTATGCATCTGACACTCCTATCATCCTAGGTTTAACCATTCCTATCAGATTATTATTATTATTATTATTATTATTATTATTATTATTATTTATAGTTTATGAATCTGTCGGCAGTTGTGCAATTGTTTAACCACTGAGCAAATTGTGTCTTTGGACCAAAACAAAATGTTATTGATTGCCCAGAGGTGACTAAAGACCCTGCAGAACTACAACTCCTTTGATTCCCTAGCATTCCGCATGATTTCTCCAATGTGGATGCACCCTAGGTAACTACCTTGAGGTCATGCTTGGATGAGAACCATGTCAGAAGCATTCCTAAGTCTTGGTGTTGATTTCTTGAGGGAAGCAATGGCAGATTAGGCTTGATGGCTGAGCTGTAACGTCTCCGTTCTAACTCACTCCGTCTGTTCTGCTCCACCCTGTTCCTCTCCCTCCAGTTCCGCCTGGGGTCTGGAGTGCTGTGCGAGTCCTACCGGCCCCCCTCTGCGTTTCAAGCTCTAGTGGGAGTGTCGGGCTCGGGATGGGATGCTCGGAGGTGAGAAGGGGGATGG